CCCTTTGCCAGTCAGATGAAGTCTTCTATGTCAGGGCTCTTCACTTTCCTTGCTCCCCTTATCCCCCCCGCCCCCCCCCCCCTTTTGCCAGGGATCTCTTCTTAGATCAAGTTTGAAAATTCCTACCATTAAATGACAAAGCAAATGCACATCACTGATGACCCCCACAGACACCTATTCACCCTCAAGGGAGACAACATTTTTAAATAGCCCTGCCTGCTAAAGTATCTGGTGTGGTATCAGGCATGTCTTACATAAAAACTCTAACATACGACTGCAAGTTTCTTTTTCCACAACCAAATGTCTCTACAAATATTTTTTTTAAAGGGATAAACTTTGTGAATTTATCCTCAAACCCACCTATTTTCCAATCAAAATATAGGGGAAAAAGAAATAGCCATTTCCAAAGCCAACGACCGCTCATGAATAGGCTAGGGCAGTGTCATCAACCTTTTTTTGAGCAAGGGAACAATTTTATAAAGTAAAAGATTTTTACATCTGCCAAGAAAATATTTTGGGAGCTGCTTGTCGTTATACTGAAAAAATAAAAGAGTTGCATCTGAAGCCTTGGGTTGCCGACCCCTGTTCTAGGGCCAGGAACCCCATTACGCAGATGCTTTCATAGTGACTGTTCTATACAGATGTTGTCATAGTGACTGTTGGTTGTAAAGGTCTCATGATCTATTTCTGAATCTGAAATCACTGGTCTCAACAAGGGTCATATTCAACAAGGGTCACATTATTGGACCTTCAGTCAATTAAATATTAAGTTTCTTTAGTTTTCCTTTTCCTTAAACTTCAAAATTATTAATGCATGGATTTAATGTTAGTGCATCTGCATTTTTGTAATGAGTCATGTTAAAAAATTATCTTAAATTATGATGTTGAGAGTCTAGTTATAGTTTGGAGGTTCTTGTTTTATAACATGAGATTTTAATTTAGATTCATTGTCAATTTCCCAGTGCCACCATCATATGAGGAGTGTGTGTTTGGCCGCATGGAGTCCCAAGAGAGAGAAGTGGACACGGCCAACTCTGATGAAACAGAAACAACTTTTGGTGCTGACCACCCGGGCCCTTCATCCTCCACTACAGCCTCTCGCCGCAGTCGGCTTCACCGCCTTCCAAGCTACCCTTACTACAGCAGCGACCACTTCACAGGAAGTAGGGACAACAACAGCAGCAGCAGCTCTGGTCACCACATCAACACCTACCCTCTCCCTCCCCCACTTGTGTTGGATAGGTTCTCATCTGTGCCTATCACTGAGCAACCCATCTCATCCCTTCCACCTCCACCCAGCTATGAATCTTTACAACTTCAACACTGAGGGTTCTTG